AGTGCTGGCTTGCAAACCAAAGGGTCACTGGTTCCATTACCAGTCAGGGCAAATGCTTGGGCTACAGGCCAGGTCCCCAGTAGGGGGCATGCGAGAGACAACCACACATTGATGTTTCTCTCCTTCCCTCCTTCCTTCTGTTCTTCTCTACAAAAATAAATAAAATCTTTAAAAATCTACCATTTAATGAACAATTATAATGCATCAGGAACTCTGCTGCTGGTTTACACAATTGATGCTTCAACCAACATGGGCTTGAACTGTGGTCTACTTAGATGCAGTTTTTCAATAAATACTTGTACCGGTTTCCATCTATGGCTGGGAATCAACAGATGCAGGGTGCTGACTGTATTCACTTATCTTTGCCATTGTATAAAGAGAACTTGAGCATCTGCAGATTTTGGTATGTGATGGGAGTCCTGGAATTAATCCCCCATGGATACCAAGGGACGACTTAAATTTTGAAAGAGTCAAAAGTTATAGGCAGACTTTTTTTTCTTAGTTATAAAGGAGGGAGGTATGAGTAAATGCTAAGTGCTTTATTTAAACATATTTAAGCTCATAGGATCATTTGACATTTCCATACCCTGTATATGTACTCTTATCAGCAGGCATACATGTCATTTGTTAATCATGGGTAAAGACCATGCAGTTTTGCAACCCTAAACACTCTATCTGTATATTAGGTTAATACCAAATTCATAATTTATACCACAAAACCATTCTTTTATCCCACAAAAAGTAAAGACTTTTTAGATACTGCCATTGCTTTTTTAAAAAAGATTTTTTTTATTGAATTTATTGGAATGACTGGCTAATAAAATCATATCACTTTCAGGGGTACAATTTCATAATACATATCTGAGAAGCACTTTTAATTTTTTTTTATTGAAACTTTTTTTTTAAGATTTTATTTATTTATTTATTTATTTTTTTAGGGAAGGAAGGGAGATAGAGAGAAACATCAATGTGCGGTTGCTGGGGGTTATGGCCTGCAACCCAAGAATGTACCCTGGCTGGGAATCAAACCTGGGACACTTTGGTTCCCAGCCCATGCTCAATCCACTGAGCTACGCCAGCCAGGGAGCACTTTTAATTTTTAAAAAATTATCTATACATCAAATACTTAACAGGCCAATACTAGTCCACCTTTAAAAGGTAAAAAGTGGCTGGTCTGCAAGTAAGTCCTTGAACTGTAAAAACTGATATAACTGCAAGAGCAAAGCCAATTGCTAACCTTCCTCTGAACTGGGACTTGATTTAAGTAACTGTTGTGTGTGCACACACATGTGAGCATGTTTTGGAAAACGAAGAGCTGGAAGACTATGAAGAGACCATCAGGAGAAGAGTAAGTTTAGGAGATAAAAGCACATTAAAAGTGGCGCGGTCCCCGTTTATTTAAAGCACCACTTTTAAGGTTAACCTTTCGGTAAGATGTTTTTATGTTACTGAGTTTGTTTTCTTAGAGCTCTGTGGCATTATATCCCTAATTCCTATTTATCTGTTTACCTGATAAAATACGAGGTTTATGCCAGTAATAAAGATCACACCGTATAATGACTTTTCCTTTCAATACCATCCAGACATCTCCTGCTAGATATGTGGTGTGATCTTTTAAAAATCTCAGTATTAATAACTGAGATGTTTCCCCATCTACAGAGGCACAAAATATAATTTTACCGGAGATTCAAATCCTTCATTTGAATGGTGTAAGTGGATATACCATTCACTTATATTCATCCTGAATATGTGAACCTTTCCCATGTTTTTTGCCATTTGGATTTCTTCTGTAAATGAGGAATTCTTTTATCTTATCCATTTGTCAATTGTATAATTATTGTTAATAATCTTTTATCCATTATAAAATTACAACACTTTTACTTACCAGTGTGTCATAGGGATTTCTTGTCCATTTCTAGTATGACAAAGCACAAAAGGTTTTACTTTTTAGTCCACTATATCAATCTCTTTTTTGTTTAAGAATTTTTCTTCTGCCTACAATTATAAACATATCCTATCTTCCTATAAAGGTTTAGTGTTTTACTTTCCATAATAAGTCTTAAAGGAACACAGAAATTTTTGTGTTGGAATGCAGTTTTATTATTTATTTTTGGATAATCTATTCCAGAACAATATAGTGGTTTATAATCCACTGACAAAAATACCAGTTTAGTTATACAACGGGATAGTATAAATGTGTTTTTCCACCTAAGTCTGAACTCTATTCTATTCTGCTGTTTCTGTACCAAAATCATACTATGTAAGATACTTTCGTTAAAAAGATGAACTTGCATCTTGCTTTTCATATAAATCTTAGCTTGTTAAGTTTCATGAAAATGTCTGTTTGTATTTATATTACGATACTTCCAATTCAATATTTGTATATTGAACTTTCTACCCATGAATATCTTGCCACTCTCCATTTGGTTGGGTTTTCTGTAACATGCCAAAAGAATATTTTATCATTTGCCCCATAAAATCTTACATCTCCCTTGTTACATTAATTCACAGAACCACTATAATTTTAGTTGCATTATATTATATACATAACTTTTAAAACTTTTTATTATTCTGATTTTGGATATTGATCTTACATCCAGCAACTTTACTGCATTCTATCATTACTTCCAGTGGACTGTTCAGAATGTACAAAATTAAACATCTGAGAATATGAGACTCTTGTTTCTTCCTTCCATTTCTGATTGTAAAGGCAATACTTCCAGGCATTCACCACTTTAGCGCAGCAATTGTTGTATATTTTTGATACAGGCTTTATCAATGCATGGGGGTTCTTTAGCCCTAGTTTCTATGTAACTATTTTTTTAAATAAATAATTGACATTGAATTTTACAAAATATTTTTTCTGTATCTGTCAAGATTTTCAGTTTCCCCCTAATGACAATATAATGAATGAGTCAAAATCTCACTTTTCTGGGACTAACTTGGCTTGTTGATTTTTTGACATTAAAGGATCTGGTTTGCTATTCAAAATCTATCTTCATAATACACTTGGGCTATAATATTTTTTCTTTCTTTTTCTGCTGTACTGTCTAAAATTCTAAGTGTCCAGTGTTTTTATGTATCAGGGTAGAGATGAGGTGATCTGGTTTTTCTTAAGTTCCAGACATATTCATTTATTTTAAAAAATAAAAATTACTTGAGTCATTTATGATTTGTATTTTTAAATGCATTTTTTTATTTTTTCATATTTTCAGTCATTGCCTTAAAGTTTTCATTCTACTTAAACCATAGCATGTCTTTTTTTAAAGTAGTCTTTTTATTTACTAGGTTAAAATTTCTATTGTTTCAACAAAGAGCACTAGCCTAACTCCAGCATTCTGCTTTTGCTTCTATTGCTTGTTTTTGTTTTTGAACTGTGGGCAAGTAACAGATGCTGAACATGTTTTTCAACTGCAAAATATATTTAATATGTCCTTTTTAGCTTATATAGCCAATGAGACTCAAATAATATATGATTGAAAATGTTTTCAAAATGGAAAAAAAAAAACACCAAAGATTTACAGATTTATCTGCATTATCTTTTTAAACAGGTGTATCACTTACAGGCAATGTTTTCCTCCAAAACATCATGGGCATCTTTTGGAACATAAATGAGAATCAAAGAGCTTCCATTTCCCACAGCAGCATAAAACTTCCAAAGTCTGATGTTACCAGTTATCTCTAGGGGATCTGAGAAGCGGCAATTCACTACCTGTGAAAAGTATTTTAAAGGCCAGTGTGAAAAGGTATTTAATAAAGTGTAAATGTTGGGTTTTTAGCACAATATACTCTCTTTTCATAAAACACCTTTTTTAAACATAAAAGAAACACTTTAAAGTACCTCAGATAGGTCCGAATTGAAGGCATTACTAAATTATTACTGTGTGCATAAAAAGCTCCTACTGAATCCATAACTACTTGAGCATAATTCATTTTCTGTATTGATCTTTGTCAACATTAAGTAACCATTTATTAGGTTCCTGATGTCACGCTACATGCTGTTGTTAAAATGTAGTACCTAAGGAGCTAAACGTAGGAAATTAAAAGGTATCTAATTTTTTTTAAAAAAACATACAGATCTTTAGAAAGCATGAAAGGTGATGATCTTAAATGTCCTATAAAGTGAATTTAATAAGGCACCGAGGTCTTGTACATCTCATTTCAGAAAACTAACAGTATTAAGTATAATAATTCAAATCTAAACATAAAAAATAGGATCCAAAAGTATTCGCTGTGGCTGCATTTGGATGCTAGGTGACTCAATGCCATGTTATATGTCCAAATGACTCTGTGAGGTATCATAAGATGATTTTTCCTCTGGCTCAATTTCTATATTTCTTATTCATCTAAACATTATTTCCAAGTTTTATTTCTTTAATGAACTACATTTAGAAAACAAGTATTTTTATCGGTATTAAGGAGTAATATGCACAACTTTGGGGGAAGTGCTCTAACTCTGGATTAGGAAATAGAATTGAAAACTCCCAGAATTATTCTAAAAACAAAGTGAAAATCTTTATAAAGAGTTGGGGCAAAATAACAATATAAAGTATCAGAAAAAAATTATCTTTACAAAGGCCAATTCACGTTTCCAATGAAGCACCTGCCTTTGGAGAGCAAGGATATTAGCTTGAAGTGGTGATGAAATGTATATATTAAGATACATTGAGTTCCATTCAAATTGAACCATCTTTCACATTGGGCACTTAGTGATAGGCTTGGGTTATTTATTTCACCACCTTCTTAGCCCATATGAAAAGGGGCAGTTCTATAGTTTCTTTCACAGGGTGTTGCAGAAAGCTAAATTTGCAGAACTAGATGGAGAAACAAAGTTGAGCAGCCCCTCTATCTCTTCTCACTATTGGGCAGAGTTCCTCTATTTCGATAAAACTCCCATTCAGGAAGAAGTGACTAAAGTTCCACAGCAATTCAACATTTATTTTACTATCAATACCTGAAAAACATCACAATTTTAAAGGATTAACAGAGGCCAAATGAAGTCATTTTTTAAAATTTTATTATTACTGTTTACCAAGGGGGGAGATGCAGTTTATATACACCAGCAGCCATAGGGGCAAAGGGCATACACAGTTAGCAATCTGCATAGGACGGACTACTTATGCAAAAATAAGACTCTCCAAAACGAAGGACAGGGGTGAGTTTCACTACACTTCCCCAATGATCCCAGCATGCGATAATGCTAGGCAATGGCCCCTGTGCATGCGGTGATAGGAACTAATGTTGGAAGAATAAGCCACAAACCACAAAAAATTTGTAGAGAACCCCTTTACCCCCATACACACACACACACACAGATACATAATAGAATTACAGGGTGATCAATACATTTAATTGAGGAGGAAAGGATAGGAATTTTGCTGTTAAAGGGAAGATAAGTAGGGAAAGGGAGAGTTTCTAACCAATGTCAACTATGGTAGGGAGCATTATCTCCACCAAAACATAAGGAGTTAGTTTGTTCCAGCCCACCTTATAGCCATCCAGGGCAGGGGGCTACTGCCCTAATAGTGGGGGACAGAACACAAAAAACAAGAGTGACAGATAATATGAACTTCCCACTTCCTCCTCTAACCAGGAGAAAAGGCCAGAAAGAAAATGGTAATGCCACAATCTGAGCTCCGCCTCTGAAGGAAGAGTAGACCATGGCCTTACCCTCCACTTGTTTCCCAGACATTATCTGGAAGTAGGCCAGAATCTCACTTACACCCTCCTTTACCTCTATATTCCCTTAGAAGGAATTATCTATAAAAAGCCAAGGGCTGATTACCCAGTTATTTTAGCTCTTGTCAAGGTTTGACTTCTTAAAAAGTAATCACAATTCTTAGACTTAAGACAAATCTGTAACTAGGCCACTATCCTGACCAGGACAACTCTATGGGAGGAATGCAGTAATCACCAGTCTTGAGGCCCTATTACTATGATTTCCTGAATCTTCTAGAGTATGTAACCCAAATCAGTCCATAGAGTCCAAATTATTTCTTCTGGAATAAGGAAGGATACATGCACAGCCAGTGTCAGAGAAATAGGGTCAGGACCCACTCCACCCATGTATGTGTCTCTAGCCTTTCTGCTCTTCTGCTTAGGTCCTAAGAAGCAATATCCAAGTGGAAGTGGGAAGATACAGCTCCTCGTAAAGTAAGACACAACAGGAAGGCATATTAGCAAGGCAGTCCTATCCAAGAAAGGCTTAGGAATCACATTGCCTTTCATTTACAATTAGGTTTTCTTCCCATCCTAATCCCATCAGAGGGAGCCACAAGAAAGATTCTTCTGAGTCTCCCATAAAAGCTAGGAAAAAAACAAAAGAAGCTAAGGAAAAGGAAACTGGACAGGCTTCAGAAGCAGGAACATCAAGAGATGAAATGAAACTGGTCACCGTGAAAGCAGAGTGGCAGGCAGCACCTGGAGTCATGAGCCGCACCAGATAGGTAGTGGAGCAGGTAACAGGAGGAACACAGGGCCAAGCCAGACAGATGAGGCTGGGACCCTTACTGGACACAGAATGAGGTAAGAAAACATTTCAAATAAAGCAGCACCGTTCCTGCTCACCTTGGGGCTCCCAGCCCTCTACAATTCATAAACCCTCAATCAGAACTAAGTGGAGGGTAGTTCTGATACCGGCTCACACTTTCCAATCTCTTCTATCCCATTCCTTGAAGCCAAGAGATTTCTGGGGACCCTTCCTTTACTTTCAACAACAAACAATAGCTTCTATAATTAAGGTCCAAAGAGGACCAAGTGGAAAGGGCTGCCCCTTGTGAGGGGCAAAGAAGGTGGTGACAGTCTACAGGTTCACCATAGCAGAGCTCTGTGACTGTACAACCCAAGGAGCAGTGGCATTCAATAGGACATTGCACAGGCAGATGGGAGAAAACCCAGTCCTGCTCCTCGGCTCCTAACACTCACCCATTCACATTATTCAGGGCTTCTAGAAGAGGTCCCCTCTGGGCTCAGCTTTCAAACCACAGTCTCCTGCACAGCCACCATGCTTCTTTATATTTGAGGCCTGTCCCTAGGGTAGAAGGCAGGTAGTGATCTGTCATAATGACCAAGTCAGACCCATGGACTTTGTAATTATAACTCAGAGTAGGAAAATGACTGCCCCACCAGACTGTTGTCCACAGAGTAATATATCCAGATATGAATCTTGCGGTTTGAGCGATCGTGCATAGTTGCAGAGGCCCCTGCTACCTCCCCAAGGGACCATAACCAAATCCTCAACCTGCCTGGATAACCAATGTGTCCATTTTGCTAAGCCTATACCACCAGATGGGTGCCGGAAAGAGGGCTCCATTCAGCAAAAGGCTAGCCCTTGTCCCCAAGTCCGTTGAAGTCATTGTAAGTGCTGGACCCTTGGGAAACTGGTGGCTTTCACTTTTTCTTCTTGTTGGAACCAGGACCACAGCTTCCCCTACCAGACTCGGCAGGAAATTCCTTTTCTCCATTTTCCCAAACTGGAATTGTTAGTATCCAGATCTTACACCTGACTTTCATTTTGTCTTGGAGAAGCCCAAATCAAAGGCTCAGAGATCAGAGGAGCAGTCCCACTGAGGCCCAAAGATAAAGGCCTGACCATCAGTTATGTCCAAAGTGTCAGTTATCCAGGAAGCCCTTGACTCAGGCAGACTGAAAGGATAAGAAACCAAAGGATCTTATCTGCTGGGCGACAGTACAGGGGTCTTGTGCACTTCCTGCTGTCCTGATGTGTTTAGAGATCAACCTGCATTGCATGGCGTACAAGATGCACAGCTCCTCCTGCCCAGGGTTTCAAAGCTGAACCTAAGTAATATACTTATAAAACAATCCAAATTCTTAAGTTCTCCACTTTGGGTTTTTAAAGGCTTTTAAAGAATTTTCAGTGTGAATTGGGACTTTTCTCTTTTTTATTTATTTTTTCCTGTTTAGCTACCTACTCCCGACCACAGGACCGGTCTATGTTATTGTCCTGGTCACTCTCAGGCTTTCTCATGTTGCAGCTACTGGAATTCCGGAGGTGAGCGTTGCAGCTGCTGATCAGGCCCATTCCCAGATTCTCCAGGAAGGGAGCAGAGCGGGAGGCGGCACGCTCCTTTATCTTCCACTGGTTGAATGCCAAAATCCTTCACACTACCAGTGTCCGCGAACTCCAGGTAGAAGTAGCCACACTTGACTGCCCGGTGCACCTCAAAGCAGAAGCCCAAACAAGAATCCTCTATCAGGTCTACGTATATCTCCTGAGCGATGGCCTCTAGCTTGTTAGTATCCAGGTTAGCCAACGAAATTTCCTCCATTTTAATCTGTAAACGACCGTGGAGAGGTCGCTCGTATTACTCACAGCAGCACCGGCAGCAACGCGTCGGGTTCCGCGGGCCGCGCCTAGGCCTAGAGGCCTCTCAGTGCCGGATCTTCAGGCGACGGGGGCGTCAGCAGGCAGGGAAGCAGCAGCCAGCGGCGACTGCTCCGGAACACCAAGTCCTTAGTTTCTTCTGGCGTATCGCGGAGTCTGGGGCTTTGAGCTCGGGCCGGCCCCAGACCCACCACCAAACAGTCTCCGTGCTTCACTCAGCGCTACACCCAGCAGCCCAGGCCTCTTCCGCTCCCAGCTCCGTATTTAGCCCCACCTCCCGGCTTCCGCTTCTAAGTGCGCCTGCGTACTGGCTCCCGGCAGTTTCGCGGTGCTTCTGCGCAGCTGCCTTAGAAACTCTGGAAATTAGGAAGACCAAGGGACGAATAGGAATGTGTTTGACTTAACGTTATCATTGGTCGTAAAAAGTTTGCAGAGTTGCTGTTTTATCTCGTTTATTTGTGATTTTAAGCAGACGTTAATGGACTCAGCACACATGCTTAATCGATTTCCTTATGAAAAAGGAAAATTTAATAATTATATGTATATTTGTGTTGTGACCCGAAATACAGTTTTACAAACAGTTCTCCAATACCTTTGAAAACTTGACATGTATAATTAACTTGTAATCCATTTACGGTACTGCGCAGTTGTCATTTGAATCCACTAGATGGTGCAAGGAAACAAATTACAGTATAGTTTATCTTTCATTATTTTTTGAATGAAAAAACCAGGCACTACAGACATAATGAATATATATTGATCACACGAACCTAAGGCATTTATCTTATATGACCATCAAGTCAGTGCGACTATAAATAGATCATCATATACATCTATAAAGTAATACAAAGAGAAAATTGTATGTATATTCTCTACTGAACAGAGAGGAAATATGAAGTATGTTAAATTTACTGAGAGATAAAGGAAGTTTCCTAAAATTGTGTATCATGCGTTCTAAGAACTAGATCCATTCCACCTTAGTTTAAGTCCTAGATTCAACATTTAACAGTGCTTACTTCCTCACCTGAATGAAGCTAGTCCCTATTTTATGGTTAAGATTAAATGACATTTAAAAAAAATTCTGTTGTGACAGTCCCTTACATGTAAAGAAGCATTCAGTAAATGTCAGTTTTTTAATCATATTAGTTTGGACTTGAATATATTATAAGAAAGTCACTATAGTATTTATTTTATTTGGTGGTAGGTTTTCTTAGTCCCCACCACCAACCCTGTGAAATAGAACAGCTTCTTGTATCTCGAGTTTATCAAAAAAAGATCTAACCAAAGAAAGAATTATTAAAATTAGGTTTTTATAGCTGTATGATTCTCTAATTTCCTCTCCAGAATAAAGGAAATATAGACAGAGCTCTTCCAGACAGATAAAAATAAAAATTTTCTAACATATATATTTGTCAGAATACTCTTAAGTAATTTTAGAATCCATTCTTTTTTTTTTTTTTACTGTTGACAATATTACATTAGTTTTAGGTGTATACCCCAGTGATTAGACATTACATAACTTTTGGGGTTTTCTATAAAGTCTGTATTTATTTTTGTAAAATGAAAGATACAGTTTTCATCCTCACCAATAACTTTATTGATTTGGTTATTTTGAGTATGTTGACTATCTCCTGCATGGTATAATGTTGGCTCTCAATTGGTGTCTCAGTTTAATTGATATTAATTTCACCTGGTGTATCCAACTGTGGAGCATTATCCAGCAAGAAATCTCCAGCATGAAACTTCGCAAACCACTTTTGACATGTTCAATCAGTCACAGCACCTTTTCCATACATTGTATAAATCATTTTTGGTTTATTTTTGCATTTAAGTTGTGTTTTAACCTTTCTTAAAATAATAAAGCATAATATGCCAAAGATGTTTCTTATTTTCTTCCACATTCAATAATAAATTGGCTACACAAAAATTCACAAATTTTGATATTTTAAAATGCACTCTGATATGACAGCTGTCACAATCCAATCTAACCATATTGTTTCAAATGAAGTTGAAGGCAATAAACACTACTAGAGCCATCTTATGGAAAAAAACCAAATCAACTTTTTGGCCAATCCAATACTAAATGATCATCTTAATAAATCCCAATAATCATGGGATTTGTACTTTTCATAGTACAGCATAGGAAATATAGTTAATAATATTCTAATAGCTATGTATGGTATCAGATGGGTAAAAGATTTATTGAAATGATCATTTAGTAAGTTAGAGTTCATTCTTAATATCTCAAGATTTTTATGAGTAGAGGTTAAATAAAAATTAAACTTATTTGTTTTATGAGTAAGCCAGTACTTGCATTCATACAAATTTTCTGGTATGTGTATTTTAATGTCTTAAAAGCCACAAATTGGCAGATATGGAGGATTTTGAAAGCCTTGGCTAATAGTGTCTCATGCATAATAAGAATTTTTTTTTAATCTAAGGCAGATTTTTATTGAAGTCATTATATAATTTATATGTTCTCCCTTCAAAAATTGACATCATATTTTGGTATAAGTTAGAATCTGCATATAGCCATATGCTTAGCCATAAAATATAATGATTAAGTGCACAAGTTCTTGAGTTAAACTCAAGAACTGCCTCCTACCAGTTACTGTTTGTGTGGACTTTATCTACTTAACTTCTATAAATCTCAGTTTTCTCATTATAAAACATCAATAACAGTCTTCATCACATAGGTCTTCTATGATATTTAAACATGTCAATGAATAAAAAGTCTTCAAAAAGTATCTGACAAATAGTGTTGTATACTTACTATTGTGACATGCCTAGTTAGGTAAGAAAATACAGACGTAAATACAATTGTTTCCACTCCCATACCTTCTCCAAATTTAATCTAAAGCAATGCTTCTCAAATCTTAATATGCCTGTGAATCAGTTAGAGATCATTCAAAATTCAGATTATGTTTCAGTAGTTTTGGAGGTGGGCTTGGGTTTCTGCATTCCTAATGTACTTTGATGCTGCTGGTCCATGGACCACACTTTCAATGGCAAGGAGTTAAAAGAGACTATAGTGGGCAACTGTTCTTCATAATGATTGGCTCATACATATTTCTTCTGTCCAAATTATCATGAGAACCTTTGCATAATTAATTTCAACAGTAGAGAAAGATTGTTTTTCTGCTCCTTAAATCCTTCTTGTACTGTGAGAGCTGAAACTCAAATCCTCGATTTATTTAATAAAGGTGGGTCTTCAATAAAATTTACTTGAATACATATATATGAACAGACCATTACATTAATTGAAATTCAGATAATCAGGACCATGACTAGGTTGAGATTTCTCATCAGTATTTTATTACATTTACTCCTAGAAAGGGAACACTATCATGGCATCAAAAATGTTTACTGATGCCCACTGCCACTGCTCTTCTACTTGTATCATTCACCATGGTTGCTTTCCTTCTTACTGAAATGTATTGAAATTATTTATGTTAAATCAATGATATCCCGTAAAAAAGTTAGAAATAACTACATAGTTCTTTTGCAATTAGAAGGTCTTAATCCTTTTGTAAAAATAAAATTTTAAAAAGTAGAAGCTCTTTATTATTTTTCTCAATGCAAAGTGAGTAGCCAGGATTAATTTTCCATAAATAATTAATCTTCAAAGAATATGATGTACATAAAGGCTTAAGTACTAGGGTACAAATTAAGGCAAATAAAAGGACTTGTGAAATTTTAGTTACTTTTATTTATTTTCATTTTATTCATAATTGTAATATATGCACTGATAGAATTTGCTCTTTCAAAGACCAACATATTTTAAATAGTTATTTAAGGTTTTTTATTAAAGACTGAAATTCCATAAAACAAATATTTTTTAGGAGTCACACGTGTGTGTGTGTGTGTGTGTGTGTGTGTGTGTGCATTTACATAAAATAGAAGTGTGAGGTAGCAGAGTGTATCAGGAATACACAGGAAATCAGTAGACCTGTGTAGCTACTCTATTTTTACCACTAACTTATCCAATGCCCTTGGACAAGAGGTAAATTCATGTTTGTAAAACCAGCTGGCTTCACATTTTCCAAATATATCTTTTAAATCTAGATTTCTATGAGCTGAGGAATCTGAGGACTTGGGTTTCAAGTTAAGGATTAAGCAAATTCTCATGAATATGAAACCGGAAAAGACACCAGCGTTCAGGCTGTCTGTCACTAACAAATTCAATAAGCAATGACAGTGACTGAATGTTTATGGGCACTTTATTCAGATGGCCTGAGAAGACGGCAGGTTCATACCCTAACAAACCATCTTAAATTCCATTTTAAAGTGGCCCTTTTTATAAGGAGAACAAAGTGTAGGTAAGGCATTTAGAATTCAGGGAAAAGTTGATTGAATTAAAAAAACAGCTTTGGCATTCTTGTCCTGGGCAGTGGTCTTAAGCTGCACCCCAGGCAGTGGTCTTTATCTGTGTCCTGGGCAGTGGTCATCTCACTCTGGAGCACAATGGCTCAGATATCATCTTGAATTGCTTTCAGCCCTCCTAAGGAACAAAGGTGGGACTGCTTATGGTCTCCTGGAGTCAGGGTGGGTCATACCTTCAGTTCCTGGAACAAAAGCTTTTACATGCATTGATTACTAAGCTTATTAGCTATTACTTAAAACTAAAATTTTCCAACTCTTAAGTCCTCTATAATATTGACTTACAAGGTTTAAACTGTGTGGCTGAGGGTTTTCTTCCCTTAAACTAATCTGCTCTACTACCTAGAGAATCTTGAAGTGCTTTCACAATTCATTGTTAAGCACTACACTGAAAACCTGTTGTGTGTTGTAATTATCTTAACATCTGAAGAAATTTCTTGAAGTGAGGAAGAATCGTAAGAAGGTAGAAAAAATTCCTTGGCAAGTGGAATGGGGAAACTGAGACAGATAGCTGAAGAAATTGGTCAAGCAATTTATTGCCAGATAATAAATTGCAAGTTTTTATCTTCCCTAATCAATGACATTTGGAAGCAAATGGTTCACACATTCCAGACCATACCTGGGAAGACTCACCTCAGTCTGGCCTCTCTTCAGTGACATTCTTTGAAGGTAAAACTGACCAGAGGATGACCCTGACTTCTCTATACACTCATTTTGATGAATGAGCGTATAGAAAGACGCAC